TTTACTAGCTCTATATCCTTTTAACATCTTTTACATTCTCATTTTCTTTCTTTAAAAATAATTATGAGACATAATAGCATTAACAAATAAATTTTCCATCTGTTGTGAGACTCCTTTTTCTGGGGATGCTAAGCAATGCTTATTCCCTTTTAAGTTTCTAGTGTTGAGCCCATGTCTGATTAAAGTTTTACTGGGGAACCAATGGAAAACTATAGATATTTCTTAATGTTAATCTCAGGGAGGACTTTAATTTTCTTTATGATATAGAGCTAGTAAAAACATTTTCCATCGAGTTTAGAGGTTACCCGTTTGCATGCTTGGTTAACCCAAGTCAGTGATGGATTGATCTAAAATTTTAATCCTCTGTTTCATATTCCCTAAGGGAGAACTATACATTTTAATGTGAGCTGAAAGTGTTTTTTTTCCTATCCTACTTGCAAATTATGTTCAGAAAGCTAATAAATAATGCCAATTTCCTTTTCAACATGCTTGGGTACACAGTAGAGGGCAGATTAGACTGATAAATTAAATTTTCATTCTGCATATATAACATTTAAAAACTGCCTTAGGAAGGTAATATTTGGCTACATTTTTTTTCTTTCTAGTGGATAATTCAGCATCTTGCTATTAGTTTATTTATTTATTTATTTTGGAAAAGAGTAGCATTCAGATTTACCATTGTATTTTAGTTTTCACTGATTTTTTTATATTTGTGTGTGTTGTGAGGCAGGTTTTTCATGGCAAACATATTTAAATGGAAAAAGATAAATATGAAGCTATAGTTTCTAAACAAACAACTGAAATAGATGTTAGTCTATCATAGCCAATGCCCCAGTACCTCTGATGTTTTGTGTGATGAACAAATTTAAAACACGTCATTTGTTCTTTATTTAAATGCTTTGATTTTGTCTCCAGGTCATTGGCTTGCATTTTATATGAGATGTATTGCATGAATCATGCATTCACTGGCTCCAATTTCTTGTCTGTTGTTTTAAAAGTTGTTGAAGATGACACACCTTCTCTCCCTGAGAGATATCCAAGAGAACTAAACAACATTATGGAAAGGTATGAAGATAAGTCTGTTGCAGAAACTATTTGAAATTATGTTATTGTGTTTAAATGAACTTATGCTTTAGTTCATTTGAAAACCTATTTTCTTTTTGAACATTACAGCATGTTGAACAATAGTCCTTCACTGAGACCGTCTGCTACAGAAATTTTAAAAGCCCCTTTCATCGATGAGCACCTTCAGGTATTGAAAATGAAACAGGTATTAGGGCTTATGTATACAGTCTATGACTCAAGGTTGTGCTGTGGGAATAAGCTGTGATAAGAATCAGTCAGAAAGGAAAAAAGCAAGATTTAAAAGAAGCCGAGAGAAACACTATGGCAATCTTTTTGCAAAAGAGGGTACACAAACTCCGGTCCCTGGTGCCACTGGAAATGGAAAGTTAGCGCTCGAATTTTTGGCCTAAACCCTCTTTCCACTCTTATGGGCTCTGAGGTTTACAGATCTTACCTCAACACTGAAATACATCCCTGTTAGGATAATAATACACTACTGATAACAGTAAAGTATGGGATTTTTGTTTAGCTTTTATCGTTACACTTCTTTATTATATAACAGAGTTTTTAATTAGATATTTATTTTGATTTGAATAGAGAACTTTATTAGCTAGAGAATCTGCCTCAGTTTGGAAAAAGCCAGCCGTTCTCTCTGAAGGACTTTTATCATTCTTGAACATCTCAGTTTTTTGTTCTTCTAATCTCTGAGGCAAATTTCCTCTGATTTTGTGAACAACCCTAATGGGAACCACAGACCAGTCATCTAGCTTGCAACATATGCCTGCCATTCCTCCCATGGGCCAAGTTCTAAATGCAAAGGAAGCAAAGATAATGGTGGTATGTGCTCAGTTATAGAAGCTGAGTGCAGTGCTGGGCCTGAGAGGCTGAAATGAAAGGGGTGGGCGTGGTTCCTCTTATTTTGAAGTTTTACTGCTAGAGAGAGAACTCAATAACCAAAGAAAAGTAGAAAAAATGAACACATCGCAAGCACAATGAAGAGAGGAGAAGAAGGCGCTGTGAAAAGTGGTGGGAGCAGAGGGGCTTTGGTAGACAAAATAGTGTTTCAACACCAGAAGGAGGTGCATGTAGAGTCTAATAAACGGTGTCTCCATCAGTGTGAATGGCTACTGGAATGCTTCTGAGTTAGGTCATTCTTCTTGGACATAGAGGGGAAGGTTCTAGGCAAACACATGCTGCCAGGGGACATGGAAGAGGAGAAAGTAGGGCAGGATAGGGAGGCAAATACTTCCAGCTCTCCCTGAGTGTAGGCACAGTAGTCTATAGCAGCCTGTGGGTGGTCCCCTGAAAAACGGACATAGGTGTTAGATGTTGGGATGGAAAACACACTGGAGGGCCTGTGAATGTGCATATACACACATACACACAAACACATACAAGTATGCACACCTGCATCTACATACATATACACATCTGTAGACATATGTACATATGTTTAACACATGCACATATATGCACATGGGGAGGACCTTGGGAGATCTGATGGTGTTAAAGCAAGGTAACTAAGACAGTTGCCCTGAAGGAAATTTAAGGGAACACTTAATGACACATAATCAAGATGTATCTTATTTTAAATATAATTCATAAATACAAATTAATATCAATAATCATTGATAGCAAAATAAAAAAAGTTTAAAAACAGAATTCAACTGGGCTAAGATGTAATTGTGCATGTTTAGGGCTGGGTCCTATCTTTAAACATTTAAAATTGTATTCATGGGTTTTGTACATTGATTTTGATTTAAAAATAATAGTGTATTAATATAGTACCTGCCCTGGTTACTAAGGTTTTTAGTGCATCCTTGGAGTTGTATCACAGCTGAGTGCCTCATTTGCCAAGCCTGGTCTTAGCGGGAGGAGGGCAGGGAAGTCAGGCAGGGAAGTGGGTATTCCTAGAGCTGAGGGAAAGTCTGATGCTGGTAGGTAGTGGGGAGTGAGGGAGGAGAGAGCAAGCACAGGTGAGGTTGGAGAAGCAAGTAAAGGCCTAACGCTGCAGGGTCTTCGCACCTCAGCACCATGATGCAATTTTATGTAACCCTTTAAAGAGAGAGAAATAGCCACCAGGAGCCTTGTTTTCATGTTCCCTGCTGTGGTCACAAACCAGATCAGAAAAGGCACCTGGCACCTTCGTGCTCTTTCATTGTGGAAAAGGAGTCTTTAAGTCGGTGAGGACACTTCATCTTTATTTCAGCACCTGATGTGTAGATATTCGGAAATGACTCTGGAAGACAAGAATTCAGATTGTCAGAAGGAGGCTCCTCATATAATTAAAGCCATGTAAGTAATTGCTTTGTTTCTAAAAAGCCCATCCTGTGTAAATGTTAAATGCATTGGTCTTTAAAAATCTATTAGTGCTAAGCTGACTGCATGGAGCATCCTAGAATTCACTTAAGTCTTGCCAAGAAATTAAGCTGCTTCAGTAATGTGGCATTCCAAAGCTGTTTGCCCCGGGTGGCAGGAGATTCAGATCATGAAAGTTTAAACCACTGCACAGCTTACAGATCTGCAGGGTAGCACTGCAGTTGCCTTGTAAGTGTATAGAGAAATGAATGTCTCAAACATTAGAATACTTATGCTAATGAGCCTTCCATCATAAACCTAAATGGGTTTCATATGGTGTTTGTCTGACTAACAAGAGTATCTACTGAAGGAAAATATTGTGGGGTCCTGGAGCAATTGAAAAAATAAAAGCCCAAATTCTTTCGTCAGCTATACATCCTCTTACATAAGAGTGAGAGAAAGTTTGTTTCCCAAAGAACCATCATAATTTTCTGGCCTGACTTCCCTTTTCCTTATTCAAAAAAACTTTTTTTGTTCTTGTTGAGCTTGTAACTTGTTAGAGCACAGAATGGTAGGTTACTTCAGAGCAGACATCTGCACCTGTGCAGGCACTGAACTAAAGACTCCAGGGGACCCTGCTTTAAAAAGCTTAGCTCTATAATTTTGTTGATGGGGCTCTATTTAATCTGATAAGGGATCTGCTGATAATAGTAATCCCTCCTAAGAGGTATGCAAGGCAGTAGTGGGAGAACAGGGACTCTCAGTGGGCCAGATGGTCACACCTTCTGACCTGTAGCCCACTGGTGTCTCCACTACACCCTGTTTGCTTTCCCTCCTCACATTCAACCTAAGCAAATGGGGCCATGGACGGTATTGCCATCTCTGTCTAACTCATGTTCTCTAGTATATTACTTTTCTGTTGCTGTGATAAACACCATGACCAAGGCAACTTATAGAAGGAGGCGTTTATTTGGCTTATAGTTCCAGAGGGATGAGGCCATGAAGGTGGGAGGGCATGGCAGCATAGGTGGCCAGAGCAGAAAGCTGAGCACTCACATCTTCAAGAAGGTACAGGAAGCACAGAGATGGAACCTGGAAGTGGACATGGCTATCTACTCTCAAAGCCCGCCCCCAGTGGCATGCTTCCTCCAGTATGGCCACATGTCCTATAGGTTCCATGACCCTCCCAAAATAGCACCATCAAGTGAGGACCAAGTGTTCAAATACTTGGAGCCCATGGGGGACATTCTCCTTCAAAGCACCATATCCCATGAGGGACATTCTCCTTCAAAGCACCATATACAATTCAAGCCCGTTGTATTTCAGGGGTAAATTTTTAGCTGTGCTTCTAATAACACTTCTTTTTTCAGGTGGTAGTGGGGTTTGAGACAGGGTCTCCCCATGGCCCCAGCTGATCTGGAACTTGTTATGTAGATCAGGCTGGTCTCCACTTCACAGAAATCTTCCTGTTTCTGTCTCTTAAGGGCTGCGATCAAAGGAGCTTGCCTTGCCAGGCTATTTTCTTGGTTACTATCTATCCTTTCAAGAAAGGTTGGGATTTCTAATTTTATTTTGTTTTAGTAACTAGAAATGCGAGAGTAGAGGGCATCCTAATTTTAAATATTGAACTAATTTTAGCTATTATTTTGCACCAAAATTGTGAAACAGTTTGCCCGACACTGTATTTAGTGGTGTGATAGAATCAAATTGTTTGGAGGGCATTTTATATTGTAAAATATTGTTTCAATTAGTCCCTCTTATTTTCAAGATCAATGGCTGTGTTTCAGAGAGATCTGTTTGGTCTTAGAAAATAAAGGGGTACATATCTGATAAATTATACCTTCATTGGAGGGCCTGGTCTGGATGATATTTTAGAGGCACACAAGTTGCTGAAAACAGTTTTTCTTACAGAGTTTCTTAAAGAGGGAATGCGTTAAAGGGTGTTCTGTAATATTGGGTTCTAACCAAGTCAGGACCTGGTAATGTTAGGAATGTGGTCAGCCATTCACCTTGATTAGTGTGAGAAGTTTTTTAACTGAAAAAAGAAAGAGGTTTATTGGTAATATTATTGGCTGACATTTTGAAGAGTAATAATCATACACTTGATTCTGTTCAAACCTCTTTCCGTGAATTACCTCATTTAAATGAAGAATGCCCCTATGAACTAGGTAGTATTTTGTTTTTGTTATTGTTTTTTGTAGTCACACAGAGGTTATGTAACTTGCCAAAAGACATATAGAGTATAGCCTGAGAACTAAGATGTGAGCCTAGGGAGTGTCATTCACCTTTGTGATTAACCACTGTACCACAATACCATAGCGCTCTGTAAGTAGTAAATCTAGGACATAAGCCATTGAGTGAAATCAGTTATTCTGCTATCACCATTTGGAAGAGTTCTGTGTACTAGGCATTATGCAGGCAATGTCCCATACATTTTCACTATAGCCAACGCATACAGGTTGAAACTGATATATTTGGGTGGTGGAGGTGGGATTCACTGCCTGCCCAAGCAGTAGGTTCTTATCCACTAGCTGAGTTCCTCGGTCAGTCAATTTACTCTTCTAATGGCCAGGATACTAACTTATCTTACATTATAAAACCAGTCGTAGGTTCCACAGGTTCCTACACATGTGCCATTCACTCACATAGACACACACATATGCACATAAATAAATATATATATATATATATATATTTTGCCTAGTCTGTCTTGGGATCTGTTGGTTTCTCCATAGACTAATGAAACTTATGTAAAATATTTGTTTATTTTATCTGAGCATGTTTGGGATGGACTGCATATTGGGGAATCTTTATTATTTACAGGCAAGAAAAAATCTACCTGCAGACTCTGCCAACTCTGCCTGAAGTGCAGAAAATGGCACCTGGAGAAAGAATGCAGCTGAGGAAGCGCGAGGCAGTGGACAAAAAACCCAGGAAGCTGAAGTAAGCTGCCCTTCCTGTCCAAGCAGGGCGCTGAGAACTCACAGAAGAAAAGCAGAACCCCCAAGAACAAACCAGAACACAGGATTACTCATTCATTCATCCATCCATCCATCCATTCATTTACCTCAAGCATGAGTCCTGAACCATAGATTTACAACAGGCTTCTAGTGTGTGAAGGCAAAGACTGAACACTAGGGAGGACAGTAGTGATGAAAATCAGATCAGGCTCTGAAGGAAACCCCACATTGCTGGTACCTTCTGCACCTACCCCAGCCAGAGGTCACAAGAATGTTCAGATTTGATATTTTTTTCTGTATCAGCTGCTTTTCCCATTGCTATGATAAAAATACCCTGACAAACACAACTTAAGAGAGAAAGGGTTCACTTTGGCTCACAGTTTGAGAGCACAGTCCATCATGGCAGACAGTCATGGAGGTGGGAACTTGAGGCAGCTACTCACACTGTGTCCTTGGTCAGGAAACTGAGAACAACAAATGCTTCTGCTCAGCTTCCTTTCTTCCTTTTAAATTCAGAGACTCCAGCCCATGGAATGGCACCTCTCACATTCAAGGTGGGTCTTCCCACCTCAGTTAACCCAATCTAGATAACCCCTCACAAAAGATTTATTCCTATGGTGATTCTGAATCCATCAAGTCACTCCAGTGGACCCAGTGATCCAAGTAGAGAAGTTTGCTGGCCAGAGTAGTTAGCATTTAGAAGGTAGTGTATGGGAAACAGCTGTGTTCTATTGAATGGGGCCCCTGGCAAGCTCTATGCTCACTGCAATGCTGCTGCTGTGGATATCACTAGTAATTAGAGTGTTACTATGAAAAGGGTAATTTCGACCTGTGGTCAGGGTATGGGGAAAAGGGAACCTTCACATACTGTTGGTGGAAATATAAATTAGTACTACTACGGAAAACAGTATTGCATTTCCTTAAAAAGCTGGAGAACTGTCATATGGCTTGGCAGTTCTACTGGCTTTATTTCGAAAGGAAACAAAATAACTATGTTAAAGACATATATTCACTTCCATGTTCAATGAGCATTATTCACTGTAGACAAAATATGTACTCAACCTAAGTGTCCATCAAAGGAAATGTAATACACACACACACACACACACACACACACACACACACAGAGAGACTGAGAGAGAGAGACAGAGAGAGAGAGACAGAGAGAGAGAAAGGGAGAGAGAGAATTATATTTAACTTTTAAAAAGAAGGAAGTTCCTTCATGTGAAACAATATGGACCTGGAGGGCATGAGTCTAAGTGAAATAAACCAGGTGTGGGCATGGAAATGCTGCATGACTCCATTTATATGTGGAATCTAAATGTGGAACTCACAGAAAATGATAGAATGGTGGTTGCAGAGATATGGGCAGACATGGTTAAGATGTTAGATGAGTAAGTGCTGGAGATCTGTTAGCATCATGGTGACTAATATTATGGTATTGCATATTTGAAAAGTACTAAGAGGGCAGATCTTAAGTATTCTCACCACAAAAATGATAAATATGTGATGTGATGGGTTTGTTAATTACCTTGCTCTAACATTTCATAATGTGCATGTGTATGTGTGTATGTATATGTATATATACACACATTGTGCTATATGCTATAAATAATTTTTGTCAATTAAACCTTAATAATGCTGGCGACACATGTATAGTGAAATTTCAAAATGACCTAGATTTCTCAAAGCTTATTTGTTGTTTATTTTTTAATTTGGTCGATTATCCAATTTTCATTTACTTCTTTGCCTACTTTTTGGTAGCTTGAAAGTCCCAGCCAAAATTACAGATAAAAAATAAGTGAAATACAAAGTTATCGATTTTGTAACCATACTAATATACTTGAAACATGATTTAGAGATACCCTTGTACTTAGAATGAATATTGTGATGAATCGTCTGAGTCTGTTTTCCCTTGGCACATGTTTTCTTTAATAAATGTGCTAATCACTTCCTTTCGCAGTGCGGTATGGGCCATGGTATGCCAGTAAATGTTTAACAAGAAGCCATAGGTTTGGAGGTAGCTCATTTGTTTGCTGATTTCTGTGGCATAAATACACCTCTCATGACACTTTCAAGATACCCAGATTTATTCCTAATTGTTCTTCCGGGAAGATGCATATTCAGTCTATTCTTGGGAGCCAATGCAAATTCGTTTCTACAAAGCACTGATTATCAGTTTAACTGGGAAAATATATTCACTTAAATCACTTGGGCCTATGAATCAACTCATAACTCTAAATCTGTCTCTAACAAATAATTTTTTGAATATATATATATATTATTGAGTTTTTATGTACTTCATACAACAGAACATAATCAAATTTAGAAGGCTTTCCCATCCACACTCCCCCATAACCACCCCCCACTGGATTTCATGTATTCTGTCATATATGTTAAGCCCTATCCAGTTAAGTGTTTGCGCCCCTATGATTGTTCTTTTAAAAAATGCATTGTGGATTTTCTCATGGTGATTTTCATTGTAGCACACTTCTGTAGGACTGGTGGGTTTTGTTGGGGACATATTCTCTTGGTTTTTCATATTATTTGTGTTCTTGCATTGCCATTTGGGCATATGGATATTTTTTGCTGGTTGTATGTCTGTTTGATAGGAAATTCTGTTCTGCCTTTGTTTAGCTGAAGTTTGGTTCTGTTTATATTGTTGATGTAGCTAGGCTACTTTTTGCTCAGGTATGAAAAATTAGTGGGTGTGTGCTTTAGATTCTCTGAGGGCAGTAGGCTGGAGTAGGGGTAGTAGGCTGGTCTGTGGTAGGCAGATCAGGAGGGGGGCCAAGAGCAATACAGGAGAGAGGACAGCCTGTGGAGAGTCTAACAAATGAAACTGGAGAATTAACCTGCAAGGTCTGAACTAAGGTGGTAGTCCAGAGGTCCGAGACTGAAGATCAGAAGCGCACCTGGGCCCAAGGCTAGAAGGGGAACAGGGTGCAGGGGCAGGAGAGGGCAGTGGAGCTGCTCAGGCTGCAAGGAAATCAAGATGCAGTGTGTGGGATCCGACTTACCAGGGTAGTAGGCCCGTCTGTGTCAGGCAGATCAGGAGGCAAGATGGGAATGGAGACAGCCTGTAGATGGTTTAACAAATTATACTATAGGATTAAGCTAGTCTGGGTTAGGAAGCTAGTCCAGAGATCTGAGGCAGAAGAGCAGGAGCGGGCCTGGGCCCAAGGCTAGAAAAGGGACAGCGTGAGGCAGGGAAAGTGAAGCTCTAATAATGTTAATACGCCAAGGTGCTGTGATTCACCGCTGAGTGTAAATGGAGAATTAAATCTGAAAGGAATGTATTTGAGGCAAATGTAATTATTTACATGCATATTTCAAATTATTATTCAGATTAAAACTATTTATAGACAAAAGAATATCATAAATCTAATATTTTTGTAATAAAAACAATGCTTTTTATATGAAATTTGGTCTTACTTTTATAAATGAATTGGATTATAATTTTGATAATTGTTTCTAGGATTCAAGAGGGACTGAACATTTTAATTATTGTCATTGAGAAGCTGACATTGAACATAATCTCATTTATATGTAGAATGTAAAAAGTGAAGCTCATGGAAGCGAAGAGTAGAATATGGTGGCTGTGGGGAGGTGGGGATATGTTACACAAGGAATAAGTTCTAGAGATCTGCTGCATGGTGACTAAATATAGTATTGCATATTTGAAAATGGCCAAGAAGGTAGATCTGTGGTCATTTCCCCTCCACAATAGCATCCATAGGTTCATTAATATGAAGCTCCGTTGTCCTTGTTTATGGGCTTCTCATAAACATTCTGAACAGAATGAGTCTGTGTCAGGCATTGACGTACCAGCATCATCACACTCAGAAGGTTGAATAAGGAGTCAGAACATCTGTGTTTATATGTGCTTTAAAAGAGAACTATTTGAAGTGTGTATGTGTGAGAGAGAGAGAGAGGAGAGAGAGAGAGAGAGAGAGAGAGAGAGAGAGAGAGAGAGAGAGAGGTCATTTGGGTGCTGCACAATATCCAACTCCGTTAAGGAGAGATCTGATGTCTTGGCTTCCCAACAACTGAATCTACACGTTAAAACATGGATCATACTTACTTGTATAGTATGGATAGGTCTTCAGAAATTTGTACTGATTTTTTCTACATTCACTTTAAATTTTCAGAAAGATTGTGGAAGAAAAGTATAAAGAAAATAACAAACGAATACAAGAATTTAGATCCCAGAACTTTCAGCAACTGAATATCCATGTGCTTCATGTGAGTATCCTCTAATTTTAAATTAACAGAATGTTTCCTTGATTCACATTTTTTCAAATTCATCGGGCTGAATTTGTAGGAAAAGGGAAGTGGTAGAAAACAAGCACCAGACCAAATTGCCCAATCCTAGGGAGGTGCTACAGTGTAAACCCACAGCTGACAGCACTAATTCAAAGCAGCTTGTACCTAGAGGTAGATCAGTTGATCCAGACATCATCTGTTGTATGGCTACTGTGTAGAAGATCACCGAGTGGTCCCTGAATGCATAGATGATGGTGAAGATTATTAATTAATAGAACAAATATGTGCATGTCTGATTTCCAGTTCTACCCGTGCTCTTCTTGTTTTGCCTCACTAGCCCATTAATCCCTTTTTGTCTTTTTTTCCATTTTATTTTCTGTCTCTCATCTGTATCCTTAAGCACTGGCTGTGCTAATAACTTCATTCAAACTGAAGATCTACCATAGATTATCTGGTAATGAACAGAGTTGCAGCCTCTCTTGAAAACGGACCCCAAATTCATGTCTTCTGTGTTTGAAATCTCTGAATCACAAATACCTTTTTTTTAAATTAGTGATAGAAGATAGCTCTCTGGGCCTTCATGGTAGTTTACATGAGGAGTCCTATCTGGACTGTTGACATCAACAACCTTATAACTCTTTAGGCAAAGACAACATGGGGTGGAAATATTTTAGGTTGTTCACTCAGAGGAGATCCCTGCATCTGAGAGATTCTTTTCGTGCACAGAAAGAACCAGCCCCATGAAACTGTGGGACAATACCCCGGACCACAGAGAGATATATTCCATAGTGTAGCTTAGTCACTAGAGCCTCTAAGCCCTAGGACATGCATGCAGGAGCCCTCAGCAAAGCGTTCTCTCAGACAGGCAGGGCATAGCAACACTTGTTTTCTGCCCTTCTCTGATCAGGGAGATGTCAGTGATTTACCTTCCCCAATTATTTAGAGGTTCTTGGAGGTTCTGGCAGTGCAAAGTTGGACCGTATAGAGGACCTAGCTCCTATGAGCTTATGGGTTTCCCTGTTTCTTCAACTGGTCAGCAGATACTGTGGGGTGCTTGTGATAAAAGTTCGATCCCACTGTGTTCTATTCCTGCTACCCTCTTTTAGTAAAACCAGCTATGAGGTCTGTCACAGGCCCCAGAGACTTGGGAGATGAGGTCTTTCCTGTTCATAGATGCTGGTGAGTAGAGGAATTGCTGATTGAAAAGATATGGGATCAACAGCAGGGTCAGGTCCCAGTCAGGAAAAAGGTCTTGATGCCATTACTCCATGAAATGACCCCTCCCTTTGAAAATGGAGCATTCTACCTCAGCTCCTCATATACCTTCTAGGCCCTGTGAGGATAACTTGTGATGATAGGTCTTTGTCCCAGCTCTGTCTGTCTGCTTTGTCTCTACAAGACGGAGAATGGTACATTTCCGAAGACCTAGACAAGGAGGTTGACACCATAGATTCTTGTGCTTGTTAATGTGTGTAAACTACTTGCTCAGTCAATGAAAGAAACAGGGATGCTTATTTCTGGAATGCTCAGAGACCCTTGATTCTAAGAGATTTTTTTCTACTAAGATTGGAGATTGAGAACCAGATATGATTTTTTTTGTATTATGAAATCTAAATAACCGCCCTCCCTCTGTCCTGTCCTTCTTTCCTCCCCTCATGTGAGACAGGGTCTTGCCATATGGCCCAGACTGGCCTTGAACTCATGATCTTCCTGCCTCAGCCTTGCAAGTGCTGCGATTACAGGAGTATACAACCACAACAAGTTCTGATTGAATTTAAAATCTATTTTTATTGAGTTTTTGTTCATTTCATATAATAGATCTTAATCAAATTCGCACCCCCTCCCACATCTGCACTCCCCCCATAGCCCTCCCACTCCACTGGATTTCATGCAGTCTATCATGTATGTTAAGTCCTATCCAGTCCCGCATTTGTACCCAGATGTCCCTCAGTGCAAGTTCATCCACTGGAGTCTAGACAGCCTATCTAGAGTCACTCCCTTAAAGAATATCTACTCTCAAACTGGGTATGGTGGCGCACACCTTTAATCCCAGCACTCAGGAGGCAGAGGCAGGCAGATCTCTCTACATAGTGAGTTCCAGGACAGCTGGGGCTACTGGGAGACCCAAAAAAAAAAAAAAAAAAAAAAAAAAAAAAAAAAAAGATTGTCTACTCTCCGTCATCCAGTTACCAATAGTTCTTCAATTAGGGTTGGGGCCTGCTGCCCATTTCCCTTGTTCTATGCTGGGTTTTGGTCTGATTGAGCAAGCATGGGTATTGTGCATGCTGTCGCTATTGTTGCAAGTTCATATGAGCAAGTTCACAGTGGCCTGAAAGCCTCTGTTTCCTTCTGTTCATTCAGCAACCCTGGCTCTTAAAATCTTTCCACCCCATCTTCTGCAGTGCTCCTTGAGCTGTGGTGGATAAGGTTTAATAGAGGAGTCCCATCCGGGGACATACACTCTGCAGTCTCCTGTTCTCTAAAACAGCCAGTTGTGGCCTTCTGTGTGCGTTACATTCTGTTGTATGAGGAAGCTTCGCTGGTGAGAGTTGAGGGATGTATTAGTATTGTCTCTACCCCTGTTCTGCTATGTTCCATGAGCCTTAGGTGTAATGGTTCCACTGTACATGTGTCACTTAGGGCTGGGCATCTCTCAAACATATATTGTCTGTGTGTGAATTGTTGTGGAACTCTGTAATAGCCTCCATCTGTTATAAAAAGAGGCTTCTTTGATGAATGGTATATAGTATACTTGTCAGGGTAGTAGACCGGCCCATGGCAGGCCGATCAGGAGCTGATTTAATTTTGAAGTTATAATATAGCAACTAAAAGGTAAGATCCTAATTATTAGTGATTGATAATTTTTACTTTTTTTCTTTGACCCTTCAAGATAAACATATGTCATTCATTATCAGTGATTTAAATATACTGTGTGATGTCTTGGGTGCTGAACAACCATGAAAACGTGCACCTTCCTTTCCCTCTGTAAATTGGAGTCCTGGGGTACTAAGGATAACCCGAGATGCCATGGCAGACAGAATCTCATCTCGGGAGATTTTTGTTATCCTTATGTTATCACACAGAGCATGGCAGCCAGAGGAACCGTACCCATCTTGGCCAAGCTCAGATGAAGAGAGTTCCTGACGGTCCTAGGTAATTCCCAGCACATAACTTCCACAGTGACTTCTGTAGTAGTTACTTTTCTCATTGCTGTAACAAAAGATGCTTAAAGAAGGGTTTTGCTTTGGGGGGAGATCTTAGTTTGAGGGTACACTTCATAATGGCAGGGAACTTGTGGCAAGAGGCTGAGGCAGCTGGTTACACTGCATCTGTAGGCCGGAAGCAGAGACATGAATTGCTCAGCTGGTTTTCTCCTTTTGTTCAATTCTGGACCTCATGCCATGGGATGGTGCTACCCACACTGAGGGCAGGGCAGGTCTTCCTTCTTCAATTAAGCCTTTCTGGAAACATCCAGAGATATGTGTTTCCATAGTGATTTGAAGTCTAGTCAAACTGACAACTAAGGTCAACCATCACACTTCCCTCCGTATTGGGAAGTTTGCGTGTGTGTGTGTGTGTGTGTGTGTGTGTGTGTGTGTGTGTGTATTTGTATACTTGACCCTGTCCTGTCTAGAGACCTTGGTTCATTGTTTGACTATGCAAGTTTAGTGTCATTGTCTCTGGTCTGGAGCTTTGTAGAGTTGAGTTTTGCTGGCTGGTGTGGTATGTATTTCCTAAGTTTACATATGGATGGTTGAAGACACTCCAGGCAGATGTAGGATGTCATGAGTCCTTGTCCCAGCTGGCTCTATCTGTAGAATTTCTCAGCTCTCCTGGCTTGCTTTTGTGCTATTCCATCATCTGTTTACTTCTAGTCCATTGTTAGCATCCCCCATCCTCTCTTTCAAATGTCATATTGTCTTAAGGAAAATCTTCTGACCTTTCAAATCTATAATCAGCTGGCTTTCTACCAAATTCTGTGGCTTACAGGAACACTTCTTTGACTTTACAATGCACCAGAGTTTTCTGCATATCTTGATAAAATGCAGATTCTGATTAGGTTGGTTTGGCTTAGACCTGAGATGTCCTGTTTCTAAGAAACTCCCTGCTGTTTCTAATGCTACTGGCCTAGGACCACATTGAGATTAATCAGGAAGAGAAAGGGGAGCTCCTGAAAGTAGCAGTCCACTTCTAAATAAAGGAGGAGCTGGAAATGCCACAATAAAATCAGATCTTCCTATAATCTCTTTAGGGAGAACACTTAATGGCAACAGAAGCAAAGAAGGAGAGGCTTGGGGGAGGACTTTCTTGTTCACCCCAGGAGCAGAATGAAGAGAGGCAGTCAGGCAGGGAAGAGGCAAGTTCAATCATACTCACAGGCACAGGAGTGAGACAGATTTAATGATATTCACAGAGCAAAGGAAGGAGCCGAACACTTTGCTAAGGCCTGAAGGGTTTTTGTCATCTCAGGGAAAGGCATTGTTGAGCTGACAGATGAAATAAAATGTAAGACAGAAACTGTATTAATCAGATGCAAGAGGCTAAAGAAAGATGTGATAAATGAGGAGAGGATGAAAGGAAAAATGCTTCCATCTTTGAGTGCTTTTCCTGCACCTTTCCTCTACACATACTGATGACTCATTTCTTCCTAATTCTGTCAAGGCTTTATTCTCAAGCCCTTCTTCCTTTCTTGCCTGGCTGGAACAGACTCCTATATATTTCTCTCTCTCTCTCTCTCTCTCTCTCTCTCTCTCTCTCTCTCTCTCTCGTATGTGTGTGTGTCTGTGCAGGTACATGTGCATGTGTGTAAGTATGTTTGGAGGCCAGGGGTCAACACTGGGTTCCTCCTCTTGCTCTCCACCCTACTTTTTGAGACATGTCTCTCACTGAACCTAGAGATCATTGATGAGGCTAGATTAGCAGATCAGTAAGCCCCAGGTTTCCTTCTTCACCCACCTCCCCAGCTGTGGGTTTATAGACACCTGCCATTTTTTTTCATGGGTCCTAGGGATCCAAACTCAGGTCCTCATGCTTATGTAGTAAGCACTTTACAGACTGAACCATGTCCCCAGAGCCATCCCTCCCTCATATATTTCAGAAGCAGTTGCAGGAGAAAGAGTGAATGGATTCAGTATGTCAGATGTTCTGAAAATTCTTTGAGGAATGTAGGAGAGTGGCTTGCTTTGTTTTTCAGACCTTAACTGTCAGTGTCTTTTATTTTAGTATAGTATAGTTGAATGTGGAATCATGTTAGACTCCATTTCTTTTTATTTTCAAACTTTATTGAGAATTTCATACATACATATAAGCTTTTTTAAAAATTTATTGAGTATTTCATGCATGCATATAAGGTATTTTCATCAAATCAACACCCACTCCCTCCCCTCCAACACCTCCCATATCTCTCCATCACTTTTTTCTGACAACTTCGTGTACTCTTTCCTTCCTTCCTTACCTCCTTCCTTCCTTCCTTCCTTCTTTCTTTTTCTTTCTCTCTTTCTTTCTCTCTTTTAATAGGGCTTTTTGCTACTCTAACATTTCCCCCTTTGAAGAGGTAACCCTAAAATATTGTAGGGATTAGATAAGTGCTCCCAAATACTTTTGACATTCTTTGAAACAGAGTATGTTGCTAAGAGGCCCAAGGACATTTAGACTTCATTTCTTTAAAGAATGGTAGCTTTAAAAATAACAACTAGGAACAATAATACACAAGACAAGCCTTGACCTTTTTTCCTGTGGCATGTACGGCTCTGCTGAGACTAACATTGGGATTCTGTGAAAAGTTCCTAGCAGACAAGGGCTCATACATGGAGTGGGAATGGGAATCAAAGGCCAGATAAATCCTCCTCTTTCTAAGAGATGCAGTTAGAACAATTCTGTTCTCTTCAAAGAGAACCTCAGTAAATCAAAGTCCATTGAGAGTACAAGTGCTTATTTTCAAATAACTTGTGAAGTACATTCAGACACGCTTCATGCAATCTCTTTGTTCTTCAAATCCTCTGTGTGCCATCAGTGATCCTTTGAAATCTGAATCCAGTTGTAACACCTGAAACAATTATTAGACAGTATGGAAAGCAGACTTCTTACAAATACTGTGTGAGCATATTTTCACAAGTGCCTCCCTGCGGCAGGGCAGGGCTTCATTTGGCTTATTCATTCAAGATTAATTTGAACTTAAAAAAAAATTTCTTTCTTAATAAGAAGGCACTCTTGAAATAGTTCCCCATGAAAGCCACGTATCAGGAAAAGAGGGCAATTGAGTATTTAGTTTGTAAACACACACACACACACACACACACGCATACACACACACACATACACACACGCACACACGAAAAAATTGCTAGTGATTTATTGAAATGCTTATTAATGTATTTGGGGGTTTACCATTTATTTATTTATTTTCAGTTTTTATTTTTAAGGCAAAATCTCACGCAGCCTAGGCTGGCCTCAAACCCATCATTTAGTTAGGATGTCCTTGAACTTCTGATGCTCCTGCCTCCACCTTCTCAGTGTTGGGATTACAGGCATGTGCTACCACACCTGATTTACACAGTGGCGGGGATTGAGTTCAGGGCTTCTATATGCTAGGCGAGTTCTCAACCAACTGAAACACATTTCTTCATCAGTTCTTAGATCTTTCACTTTTAGGAAACTGAAATTCTAAGACTCCCAGGACTTCTAAAGCCAGAAGCTAATTTGGAAGTAATTCAAGTCAACACTTCTAATTTTGACATGATGAAACTAAATGGGGCTGGGATAGAGTGAGGTAGGTGGGATACTGTGGGTGCACAATGGAAAGAGGCACTTGTTTCTAGCTGCTGCTGGAGCCTGTGCTGGCCTGAACCCAGTATGGGTGTCCTTGATTTTGCTCCCTGGCATCCTATAGGACTCACCTAGTTATGGCCCTGAAACTGATATGTATGAAGGTTAAATGCTTTTCCCAAGGTTACTGTTTGGTTTAAGGCAGTTTATCTTGTCCCAAGCTAGCATACTCAAATTTGAAAATATTATCAAGGCTTAAGGGAGAAGAATGTAGCTTCATTTGTGGCTAGGCTATTTCCTTCTGTCAGCTTCTTATGAATTGTTAATTCCCTTCCATAAGGAATTAGATGACCGGACTTCAGAGAACCTGCCCCAGCCTCAGTCCATTCCTTCCCTGGACCTGGACGAGCTTGGGTCGAGTATAGAGGACACCATAGTTGACCTCGGACTTTACGGTATGTGTTTGCATCACCTATCAGCAGGGTGCTTGGCTGGCCTCTGAGAGAAGCCTTGGATATATGTCACCACCTGCCAGCAGCTGTTCAGGGCTGGGCTGTGACCAAGACGCAAAGTAGGGAAGCTAAGGGCTTTTCTGTCCTCTCTTCTTTGTAATAGTGAAGATGCGGGAGACCTCTTCTGAGTGGGTTAAACACTGTTGTCATTAACCTGACTGTGAAGGCCTGAAGCATTATGGCCCTCTCTTAGAAATGGTCCCCCTGCCCCTTATAAATTTAAATTGAAGAAATAAACCAGACTTTCCTAAATCAGCAAATCAGACGTGCAAACACTGCCAGAAAGTCAAAGTGCTCAGCACTATTACCCACCTGGAGGAGTTATATCATCATCTAGGGAGGAAACCCCTAGCAAATTGGCTTTTCCAGCTCTGTGGTTGCCTTACCCATGAAACGGGAATAACGATTCCTTCTTTGAGTGTTACTGTAAAAAAGCAAACAAGACTGGACATGGAAGTTCTCTTAGCTCAGTACCTAGTATAGTAAGAGCTGAAGAAATAGGCAGTTGTGATACTTTGAGGAACAACTTTTGAGTGCAGGAACTGTCTCATGCTCACCAGCATTCCTAGTGCCTAGCGTAAAGTGACAGGAGTGTCATAGGTTCTTGGGAGGTATTTCTGCAGTGAATGAATGAGTAGGTGAAGAAGTGAATGGAATGAGACATGTATCTGGAGCTCTAAGAAACAGGTGTCCAGGGAGGACTAAAATATGATTAGTTTTAGGGAAATGCTTAAAAGGAAAAGGGGAAATAGCTAGAAGAGATTGGGAGAACTGTTCGGCTGTAATCAAAATCCTATTCCAAGAAAGAAGAGGGAAGGTTTGGTGGCAGTGTTCTATCCTATGCAGCTAACAGGTAGCAAGTCATCAGGAGGTCCTAAAACCAAGCCAGCTGTGGACTGCCTATCTGCATACCCTTGCTGTATCTCAGCAGTGGCCATGAGAAGGAATAGTAGCTTCTGAGAGGTCAACGGCGGTGGGGGGGTCAGAGCCCAGCAGCTGAGCTGCTCAGCCATGTGTACTCCCTGTAGCTGAGTTTGCCAGGTGTAGTCTCCTCGTGGCTGCACAGTAACACTGTGATGTTACTAATGTTAATGTCACAGTATTAAGCTCTCTTTGGCAGTAGGTTAGTTCTTCCCCTAACTGAGGACTAAAGCCATGAAACTTGGATTGTGGTCATCTCAGCCCAAATTTGCACTTGAGGTCTTCTGAGTTAGTGGATCATGCATCACTCGTAGAGTGCTTGTCACTAATGGAGTATATGTCACTTCCTTCAGCTCTGTGGAGACTAGCACCTGAAGCTCTTAAGCTGCCAGTTGCCAGGTTGAAACAAATGCTGTGGAAACCATGTTATAGTCAACATCATGACAAGCCAATGTTAAGTCACATGGATTTGGATCTTAGACTTTTTGAGGAATTTCATTATTATTTGTTTCCAAATGTGAAAAGTGGAAGCATAAATTATTTCAAGGGTGTTTCTTTCCACAAACAGGAAGGTGAGAAAGGTTATTGTGTGGTAACTGATTTAGTGACCTGTGCTCTACTGGAGGGCAGAGCCATTGCTGTGTATGAATAGGAGCCTGGGACAGGACATCAAATGAGTGGTCTAAGATTGGGAAGGTCTGAGTCTCCTCTCCTGGCTTCAGATAGGAAGAGGGACTTTTTAAGGCACTTCAGAGAAGTCATGAAGTAATTTGCTCAAGGACCATGTAACTTCTGCTTTCTAGTATAGCACTGTTTCCATCTCCCCCAAGCTGAGGGGTAGGAGCAATGAACTTGTAAGATACAGTCAAGTGTGGCAAGTGAATTGGATTTGCATAAGGCTGAGTCTCTGTTGTATGTCTCTGCTAATCGTTGTGGGCTATAGTATCCACATTTTGCCTAAGCTGGCTCTGATCACAGATTCCTTCTGCTAGTGTCTTCTTTCCCTCTCCTTTTAGTCTTTGTTTCATTGTGGTAAACAATGTGTTGATTTATCAGTTCAACTTCAAATACTCAAATCCATTTCCTTAGCCAACTCATTTGAGCTTATGTCTCCATATTAAACAAAACAAAACACAGAATGGTTTTAAAAAAATATGTGAGCCTGTGGCAGGGATGGCATCGAGCATGGGACTCATGTCAGCTCAATTAAACAAGGGCCCAAAGGGGAGGTAAGAAATAGGTGGCGGGCCAGCACTAGATTGAGAACTATTTGAGGCTGTTTGCTGCTGGGTGAAGGAGAGTATGACTTATATATGACCACTGGATGGGCTGACTAGACTCCAATGGACACATTTACACTGAAGGATGTTTGGGTACAAACACTTGAATGAATAGGACTCAGCTTGTACGGCAGAGTGCATAGGGTTCGGTGGGGGGATGGGAGGAGGCATGGATTGGAGAGGAGGTCTGGACATGAGTGGAAATCTAAGAAATTTAAAAAGCTCAATTAAAAATATTTGTTATTGAAGTTTTGTGTGTCTCATATACAACGTTGTAGTCCTTTTTTTTACCCCCTTCCCCACTGGCACCTTCCCATAGCCCCCTCCCCACTGGATTTCATGCATTCTATCATTTATATTAAGGCCTATCGAGTCAAGTTAGTGTCCCCTGATGTCTCACAGTGTAAGTTCATCCACTGGGGTCTAGTCAGCCTGTCTAGAGTCCCTACTTAAAGATCTTCTTCACCCAGTTGCCCACAAAGGTCTTTGACTAAGATTGGGCCCTTTGCCCATTTCTATAGCTCTATGCTAGGTTTTTGCCTGCTTGAGTTTGCATGGGTCTTGTGCATGCTGATATCATTGCTAAAGGTTCATATGAGCAAGGTACCAGGAGCCTGTAGGACTCTGTTTCCATATGGTCATGGACCTCCTCCCCTGGCTCTTACAATCTTTCTACCCCCTCTTCAGCAATGGTCCTTGAACCATTGGTCGTTAGGGAGTTTTGCTGATAAGAGTTCAAAGGTATATTAGTATACTGTCTAGCCCTTGTTCCACTATGTTCCATGAGTCTTAGGTGTAGAGTTTCCACTGTAGATGTGTCACCTGAGGTTGCTCATTTCACAGACACAGACACTTAATCTCTGTATGTGACCAGCTGTGGAACTATGTAATAGTCCCTGTCTGTTGAAAAGAAGCTTCTTTGATGATAGGTGACTAACATAAACTTGTCTGTAAATATAAGGATCTATATTTAACACGTAGTAAGAAATTACATTTGTCTAGGGATCTGACAGCCTTGGGGTTTTCTCTAAAATCTATGACCTCTCCAGGCATGTGTATTTGACTGTGGTTGGCTTTAGGTCCAATTAGGTAGCTGCTGATTACCCCCAAGATAAAAGAGTCACTACTGCCCCAATATAGTTTGCTGTACCAGTCGTTGTAGTTTTTAGGCCTTGAAGCTGAGATTGTGCCTTCACATCCTGTCCACCATTTGGTACTATTTGTTCTATTGATCTTAGCCATTATGGCTGGAGTAAGATGAAATCTTAAAGTGGTTTTAATTCACATTTTCCTAATTACTAACTATATTGAACATTTTAAAAGATTTTTTTAGCTATCTTTATTTCTTCTTTTGAGAACTCTGTTCAGACTAATAAACCAACTTTTAATTGGGTCATTTTTTATTCTTTGTTTTTTAAGTTCTTTATATATTCTGATTGTTAAACCTCAGTCAGATGTGTCGCAGATGTGTTCCCACTCTGTAGGTTTTCTCTTTACTTTCTTGATTGTTTCTTTTGCTATACAGAAGCTTTTAAGTTTAGTGAGGTCCCATTTGTTGACTGTTGACCTTAATTCCTGATCAACTGATGTCCATTTAAAAAGCCCTTTTCTACACCTCTATCTTGTAGGTTACTGCCAGTGTTTTCCTCTAACAGTTTCAGAGTTTCAGGTTTACACTGAGCTCTTTGATCCATTTGGAGTTGACTTTTGTGCAGGGTGAAAGATAAGGATTTAGTTTCATTCTTCTACGTTTTGCCATCACCGTTTGTTGAAGATGCTGTCTTTTCTCCATAACAAATAAGGAAATTGAAACAGTAATTCTAAACCTCCTGACTAAAAAATGTCCAGGCCTAGATGTATTCATAGCAGTATTCTACCAAGCATTCAAAGTACCAACCAGCACTATTTAAATTATTCAAAAAGAGAACTCCAAAATTCCATCTGTGAAGCCAGCATCACTCTGATACTAAATCCAGGTAAAGACATAATGGAAAAAAACCTATAGACCCATATTCTTAATGAACATAGATGCAAAAATTCTCAACAAAATACTTACAAACTGCATACAGATACACATTAAAAAGATCATCTATCACGATCAAGTCAGATTTATTCCAGAGATGCAGGATGGTTCAATATATGTGCGTCAATAAATGTTATAATTCATGTAAATGGACTCAAAGACAAACAATCACATGGTCATCTCAATAGATGCAGAAAAGGCCTTTGACAAAATTCACCATGCATTTATGTTCAAGGTCCTAGAGGGAACTGGCTGGAGGGAACACACCTCAACATAATTAAAGCCATATATAACAAACCCACAGCCAACATCATTGTAAAAAAAGAAAAACTGGAAGCATTCCCGTTAAGATCAGGAACCAGACGAGGCTGTCCACTATTCCCCAATCCTTTTCAATATAGTGCTTGAAACTTTTGCTAGAGCAATAAGACAAGGAAAGGAAATTAAAGGAGTACTAATTAGAAAAGAGGTCAAATTATCCCTAGTCACAGGTGATAAGATAGTATACCTAAGAGATCCTAAAAATTCCACTAGGAAACTCCTAGAAATGATTAACACTTTCAGCAAAGTGGCAGGTTGTAAAATTAATCTGCAAAAATCAGTAGCCTTTCTATATACCAATAACAAGCAATCAGAGAAAGAGTATATGCAAACCTTCCCATTCACAATAACCTCAAAAACAAATCTTGGAATAAACCTGACCAAAGACATTAAAAATC